ACGCAGAACTCCTATCCGACGTGCAAATTCTGATCCCAACCCCAAACCACCAACCACCAACCACCAACCACAAACTACAAAAGTCCGAATTGTCGCTCACAAATCCCTATCTTGTCTCTCAGTATTTGCTTTATTCGCAAACATAGAGAGAGAAAAAAAGTAATAATAGAGTAACTTATATACTTCCGCTTTTCCTGCCCCTTTCACTTGTTCGCGAGAGCCATTGATCCACTTCTCCAGGCTCTATCTCCATACCTAATTACAACACAACAACTACCGAGATCCACCAGATCAAAATATTTGAAATACCTAAATCCACTTTCCTGCTCCTTTACTCCTATACTCCGAAGAACCAATAACCTATTCCAAAATATGCTCAAAAACCACACATCGAAGACTCGAAGAACCTCTCACTTCTCACCATCCAAACGAATCCACCATGCACCACAGTAACAAAGCATAACAATACCCGTTAGGTTCCTCATACAGGCACAAGAAAAAATCATCTCAAGAATACATGTTCGAGTATATGAGGCACTAGTCCCAACCCAATATCCATATCCATATCCACATTCACATCCACATCCACATCCTTCTCCCCTCTCCCCTCTCAACTCCCATTCTTTCTCTCCTAATTCCCGCATCAAAATATTGATACAGCCACCACCACCACCACTCATCAGCTCTAAAACCCATACCCAAAACCCAGCCCAAAAACAACCCTAAAACCCCCCCTCCTCCCCTAATCCCCTCCTCTCCACAGCCAGATCTACCCAAACAACTACCCAAAGACATGCATATGCGTACCCAATACATCAATAACTTAACCCTAATCCCAACCAACAATCATCACTCATCAATCCTCATTTCTTGACCAACCCTTCAGAAGTCAGCAGTTAGGTCAGTAAGTAGTGATTCAGATTTCCGAACCTCTAAACTTCCTAAGACCGTAAAGTGAGAAGTTCAAGTAGAGTAGAGTAGAGTCAACTAAAGTAAGTAAGATCGACAACCTAGTCAACGATCGATAGCTACCTAGCTAGTAATACCAAAAAAACCCGTACACATATGCGCAATCCGCGCAGCAAACCAGCAGGAAAACATGTCCTCTCTCGCTCCGCCTCCCGCTTCCCCCCAGAAACAAAGAGTTGAAAAAAGACCTACTTCATTTTTCCAATCCCTCTTCTACCACTAAACTCCACAAATCAAACACAATATCACGAGTAAAGTAGAGATCTCTGTCTCAACAACTTGAATCACGTCTCTTCTATTCACCGACACGTATTATCTCTGTCACTTCTATCTAACCAGCTATCCGGGAATCTATTCTGCAACTATAATCCTCCTATCAAACACACTTGAATATCATTCATCTTCTTTTCTAATCGAGATTTCCTCCACCCCTATCCATATCATGTCAAGCTCTACAACTTAGCCTTAGCAGGTTCAAGAGTAGGCATCAAGAGATCTCTAATATCTCCCGCCGCCTCATTGAGATAAAAGCTCATTCTTTCCGAGCCTAGACCCTTAGAGACGACGTTGAATTGAATACTATTTCATCACGTTAGCTTATGTTCCTCTCGTATAGTAACTTTGAACCCAAAAATTGAAAAATTAGGGGAAATCCATACCTATTCTCATTAATCATATAAGCAATACCCCAACCATCATCTACCACCTGACTCCATCCATACCCATTAAAGTATTCCGAGCTCAATTGGGAACTCGAAATGAACCATTTACTACTGTATCCGTAAGTAGGATCTTGGTAGATAGCTGGGAGTTCCTCCCCTGGCTCCAACAATTTCTTTAATCCAAACAAATGACGATCAACACCCTTTCCATCACTAGCAGCTGTGATATATTCAACATGCGAATTGATAGCAGCACGGAAAGCGGCTACAGCTTTGGAAGGCTCGACAGTGTGATCAGAGATAGCTTTACAGAAAGCAACGGAGTCATCAGAGACAGAACGACATGTTTCAGTGCGACCTTGTTGGAAACGACGAGTTGCTGCACTTTCGTATGTAGGTCTGTTCTTACCGTACATCTTGAAATAAGCGAGTTGAATAATCATTTGTACATAGGCGTCAGGTGAACATTTGAATTTCTTGATGAGGCCTTTGCCATAACCTTGGTAAGCTTGTACGCGGAGTTCGTGGGCGGCAATGACTTCGTTGAAATCTTTGGTCGCACGCTCGATTTCTGATTGCACCTCCTTTGTGATATGGAATTTGAGAGGTGTAGGATCGGGGAGATTGGAACGGACGGAGGGATTGGAGAAATCGAGTTTGTTGTTGAAGATGACTTCATTTACGTAGTCATTCAAACGATGGGTAGGTGTTCCATCCATCATGGAATGTTCGCCCATGAAACCGGATGTACCGTTATCGTTGATGATGAATTGGAGAGGCTTATCAAACCAACGGTTTGCGCCATCACCGTGCCAGTATTGATGGGCTCTTTCTTCGAGGGTGACTGGAGAAGCATCATCTAAGCAAACAACGAACGAAGCAGATTCAATGTCTTTGAGAATCTTGGCGTTTGAAGGGTTTGCCTTGAGAAGAACTTCACGAGCATCAGTCCAGATATCGCGGTTTTCAGATGTAAGAATTCCGACTGCTGGGGTTTTCTCGGCCTTCTCATAAATGCGCTTGAATTGTTGTTCCAACTCAGAAGTATTCAATTGATTTCCATCAACTTCGTGCATAACCTTGAAGAATTGATTCTTTCGAATGACCAAAATATGTTTATTCTCCTCCGCAGCATATTTGACTGGGTGATCTGCTGGCTTCGAGGGAACTCTGCTGGCGTTGAACATCCATTGATAACTTTCCATGGAAATTGGGAGTTTCTTCATGTACTCTGGTTCCAAAGTTCCACTATCCACTTGTTTCTTGAATTCCAAAACTGCAGTACTGATTGCGGCAGCTCTCTTTGATGGATCGCGCCGCCTTCTATCATCTCGGTGAGAATAAAAATAGCTGACGTATGGAACAACTGGATCTCTGTAGCTCAAGTATGCTGCATCGTTCCACCATTCATATATCCAATTCTTGTGTTTAGGATCTTCTCGACGAGCAATCAACTTTTCTTGAAGTTTGCTACCAATTCCACCTGGCTTTATGAATTCTTGAACAGCTTTTGTGGTGTTTTGTAATTCGGAGGAGGTAAGCAAGGGGTGAACTGATTTGAGGTATCGAACAGCTGTTTCTTCTAAAGTAGGAACTGGAAGCTTTGGGAGTGATTCCTCGAATCGCAGCATAGGACCTTTAGTTGAGTCCTCCTTATAACCTATCATCCCATATCATCAGCCATCAACTCCTTAGTAGCGGGGCGCAAGGGGAATATATTCGTACCTGCTGGAAGAGAGCTATTGCTCCGCGAATTTGCTGGTGCCATACCTAGAGTCTGCCAAATCTCATTAGCCTTCGAATTCCTCGCACAAGGTCATGTAGACTTACTCTTGAAACTCTTGCAGACGTAAAACTATTTCTGAGCACCGGAGACTGTGTACGACCTTTTGCCAACAACTTCAACATACCAACGACGTTTCTGTGAAACGAGGGAAGAGCAGAGAGATTTATTGTAGATGGAAATTAAAGAGAGATTCTGCTGGGGAAAAGTAGCAGGGAACTGGTAGATTATGGCTTCTTTTAGATAGAGTTATGGTTAGTTGCTAATTACATACATAAACAAGTACATTTGGCCTTGGGGCTCGGGATCAATGAAACATGAAGCGAGTACCGAGGCAGAAAAGAATGAAGCTAAAACCCCCACAATGTTACTTACCACTTCGCGCCGTTCCTATATCCAAGACCAAGAATGCCGCAAACACCCCACAATATATTTGGAAATCCCCTCGGTCGCATTGAACATTTTCATCGTGGATAAATTTCGGTCAATTTCTCAGCCCAAGTGATGAATCCATTGTCGGAAGGAATCATGAGAAATTTGCATAATTATCCGTCTTCCATCCGACTAGACATTTTCGAGAAAGGGGGCGATGGATGTACTTTCTGTATCTAAGAGTACATCCTCGGTCGTCCGGAAAGGAACGTTGAAAATATCAAAAGTATCATTTGACCCCTTCAAAGAAAATCGACGTTTCTGTTCATAAATGTTGCGTCTATCATCGGATATATCATTATCAGCAACGATATTTGACATGTGATCTGTCTCAAATCCATCTTGTCAGCACCGTCGTTGTTCGTCTAAAAAGCTCCGAGGATGATATTGCCAACTTGCAGTGACCTCCTTCATCAAGAAGACTCAGTCATCCCTCTCTCTCCCCCTCTTTATTTGGAGGACGGTGTTCGTACTCAACGTGTCCATTTCTTGAGTAAGGACAAGCCTCCAAACCCCCTTAGCTCGCTGTGCTTGAAACTTCCCTATTATGATAATCTGGGTATGTGACATTACGAATCGTAGAAAGACCATAATAGATGTCTTCTGCCTTAGATTTCTACCTTCTTCCGCCCATCCAGTAATGTTCTAGATTCTCAAAGCTCACGATCCATTACACACTAAGCTTTGAGATTATGTATATACACATATAGAGACATGTCCTATCAAAATAGTCTGCCTCCACGGCAGTGGCCCTCGGAGAGCCAGCGGAGCATGATTCCGATGTCTCTCGACAAAAGATCAGTGTCGGTTTCCATATCAATACAATCAAGTATAGCGATCAAAAGATCTGCTTCGGCTTCAACTTCCCCTACGCAGCACCCTTGATTCCCTAGGCGACTAAGCGGAGCCTCGTTCGAACAGTTGTAGTATGAAATTGTAACAGTTTGGAGTATCAGTGATAGCCTACATAAGGTTATGATTTGAGAATTTGTTTTCATTTAGTAACCCATTTTCATGCATGTACCGATCTCATCCCCTCTACGATTTCGGGTGTATAATACAGAATCTTCATACATGTCACATCATTCGTTGACTACTAGGTATGACCAGCCCTCACTCACCATCTCCACCTACTTTTACTATTCCTTCTTCCACTATCTCCTCCTCAAATACCAATTATGTGCCAACTGCAACAATTCCATAGAAAATGGACTAGGCACTTCACTCAGCCCTGGTCTCGCTACTGGATGTCTAAGATAAACCGCACTGCAAATCTTCTGGTTGACCTCTAGATATCTAGGAATAAATGCAAAAGCACTCATGTAAGGTCTTGGTTGCCAAGGAGTCATGTATGGTTTCGATTCATCAATTGGATTTTCCCTCGCACGTTGGATCGCCAATTTTAATTTTTCTTGGTAATCAGGTGCGTCTTCTGCGTTGATTACTGCGGGGGCTTCCGAAGCAATTGTTTCCAAATCTTCGGATTTGGCGAGTTTAGTGGTGTAGGAGTTGAGCATGGAGGTTAAGTCTGCAACGGATTTGCGGTTTAGTTGTGAGAGAATGGCTCGAATTTCGCGCTTGAGTTTGCGGAGGGCGATCTTGCGTTTACCGGATGGGGCATTTTTGCTATCGGTTAGAAGAACATCGGCGTGTTCTTGAAGGGTACGGAATTCCATGCGAAGGTTTTCCTTTTGCTCTTTTTCCTTGGTTTCAGGAGTTTCTGTGGGAGTTGCGACTTCACCACCTTCGGTCGCGGCCTTTGCAGCTGCATCTTTTTCTCTTTTGGCGGCAGCATTTTTTGCCTTTTGATCATTCATTGCGCGAAGAGATCTTCTGAGTCCTCGACCACTTTTGATTTGGTCTGCGGTTTTCGGGGCGCCGGTTGCGAAGAGAACTCTCTCAACATCCACTTGAAACATATCTCCTGGATTTAAAAGATATCCTGGGTATGGCATCTAATGATTTTTTGTGAGTAAATAGTAGATTCTAACCCCAGACATCATCGAGTCCATACCTTCTTTCCATTGACCTTAACCTTTCCGTGAACGACGAATTGCCTGGCTTGTCTTGTACTGCTTGCGAATAGCGCTCTGAATATAGCTGTATCCAATCGTCTTTCGATAGGTGCGTAAACCATGGACATATAAGGTATTTGATTCTTGTTGAACTGTGGACGAGAAGAACTGTTCAGCTGTTCCACCCCGGATCCTCGTCCAGCAGCCAACTCTGAACCATCATGTTCAGCTAAATATCTATGATCCATAGGGATAACAGCTTTTGCTCTCGGCCTGAACATTCTCGACCATTGCCCCTCTCGAATCTGTTCTCCGTGGTATGCTCGACTTATCGACTTTGCTTTCCATTTTTGTTGAAAGAATGTAACACCTTCCGGCCTTGGCTTATATCTTGAGAGATTGTATAAATTGATTTTGTTCCATGTTTGGCGGATTTTCTAAGGGAGGTATTGAATGATTAGCCCACTATGTCCCTTGGTCATGTAGAGTGCATTGGAGGGCGGGGAAGGGCAATTTTCAGGAAGCAGAATTCTCACATACCACTTTCTTCAACTGATGAAATCTTGACCTCATGATTAATTATATATGAGGTGGTCGTCGCTCAATATAATAAGCTTGAATATAGATTCAATTTCACGACGATGATGTTGAAATTCATTAATCCTCGAAATAAAAAAGTACGCTAATGACACTAGCGCGGACCTTTTTAGTTTTCCACCTGCAAAAAAAAATGACCATACAAATTAATTTTCTATCGCTGTAGCTTCTTCCAAAACCTTTTAAGCTCTTGAATAAAATCCAATCCAAATCTTTCTTTCGCATTGAAAGTTTGGAAATCCTACAACAATTCTATACAAAGCATTTTATAAGCTTTTACTCAGCATTCATATCTTTGATCAGTCTCCAGTGAGCTTTATCAATTTACTTGATAACATCTCTTAAAAGATTGTCAGCCTCTTCAAGGGTCGCGCATCACCTTTTTTTTTTATCTGACTCTTCACCCCGCCTTGTTCGCCTTATCGAGTCAATCAAGACGGATTTTATCAATCTAGATAACAAAATAAGAATCTACCGTATGTTTCAATTGAGAAATCATTGTCGCAATCACTCATTGCATTTTTCTAGCTACATTCACATACTAAAATACAATAGTTGCACAACTTTTCGCAAACAATCATGTCTGACATCAACATGGAAGGCCAAGAGCCAGTCGCAGCAGCTCCAGCTACTACCAACGAGCAAGTAAAGATCGAGGCAGAAACTGCTCCTGCAGCACCAATTGAGCCAGAAATCAAGGACGAGAAGATGGAGGATGCTGAGGTTACAACTGAAACCAAGGAAGAGAAAGTAGAGGCTACCAATGGCGATGTCAAGAAGGAGGAGGAAGATGAAAAGAAGGAAAAGAAGTTCAACTATGACGAGCCAAGATTTTACGACAATGGAGTTCTGAAGACAAATGCCAATGAGATTCACGGTCAGAACAACAGTAAATATGACGCTTCAGTTCTCCCTGCATCTAATGATGAGGGATTAATTCGCCGACAAGTAAGATAATTGCTTTGAATTTAGGAGATCTCTACTAATTATTTTTGTGTAAAGGTCGAATTCTACTTCGGTGACTCCAATTTACCAACTGATCAGTTCTTAATGAAGACCACTGGAGGCGCAGAGAATAAGCCAGTCTCAATCGCAACTATCCACTCATTCAAGCGCATGCAGCGATTCCAGCCATACTCCTTGGTCGTCGAAGCACTCAAGAAAAGCAAATTCCTTGTAGTTGAAGGAGAAGAAGGAAAGGAGACTGTCAAGCGCGTAAAGGCTTTCGATCCATCTGCCAAATCTCCAAAACGTGAGGCACGATCAGTTTACATCAAAGGTTTCGGTGATGAGGAGCCAAGTTCTCAATTCGATATCGAAGCTTTCGTTGCTCCATACGGTGAGGTCAACTCTGTCCGTCTTCGTCGTACCGAAGAGAAACTTTTCAAGGGATCTGTCTTTGTTGAATTTGCGGACGAAGAAACTGCTCAAAAATTCCTTGCTCTTGACCCAAAGCCACAATGGAAGGGAAAGCATGTTTTGGAAATCAAGTCCAAAACTCAATACATGGAAGAGAAGAACGAAGAAATCCGAAATGGTACCTTAGTCCCAGGTCAACACAGAGGACGTGGACGTGGAAACTTCAGAGGCCGTGGTCGCGGTGGAAATTTCGTCAAGAAAGAGCGCGATGGGGAAGGCGATGGAGACCGTGATCCAAATGACTGGAAGAAGAGACGTGAAAGCGACAGGGAGAACGGATTCCGAGGTGGACGTGGAGGTGGACGCGGTGATCGTAACCGTGGTGGTCGTGGTGGAAGAGGAAATGGTAATGATAGAAAGGGCGGTCGCAATGATCGTGGACCACGAAACAATGATCGCAATAAGGAGAAGAACGGGTATGCTTTATATCTTTCTATTTCATATCACTTACTAACGAACAAACAGTGATGACAAGGAAGTCAAGGTCGAAAAATCTGCTGCAGAGACCGCTGCCGCACCTCCAACAAACGACAAAAAGAGAGCCAGAGAAGATGATGGAGGAGCCGATGAACATCAAAATAAGAAAGAGAAGACTTCAGCTGAGGTCCCAGCCGCAGCTTAAATAATATCCGGTCCAGTTTTACATTGATCTCTGCGTTTCCCGTCTCACAACGACACGGTCATTCAAGGGCGTTTACGAGTTTATTCTTTTTGTTCTTTTTCGGTGGGAGGGGTATCTATGCAATAGTGCATTTGTACAATGGATTTCACGGTATGGTCATTGCATATTGGTACATGAGCGGTAAAACTCTTGAGCCCTGATTTACAGAAACGGGGATTTCATCTACTTCATTTTGAAGAATGACGCGTGTATGGATGGAATAGTGCGCAAGCAATGAGGGAAGAAACCCAAAATTGATAGGTAAAGGGGTTTAGCGATTACAGTTGAGAGTTTGTAATGTAAGCCTTTTCATTTCGCTAAAGGCAAATGATAAAAGGAGAGCAGAATTTGCAATACAAAATTCACATTGAAAAGACCAATCAAGCTTCCATAATTGAACGGACTGCATGGTAGCTTCCCTCCGTTCACTTAAGGAAGCGTATCTGATTGTAGTTCGGAATCACGCGTTCCTTTCTACCCTGTCCAATAGTACCTGTGAACCTCACTCTTCGATCTCAATCCACATATTCCCCCAGACCATGTCTCATTTCTAGAGATACTTTAATCCCCTATTACCTTTTCTTGCTCTTTCCTCCCAATCACTATACTATACAAATAAACCTATCTCTCCATAACCACTCTTGCTTCCCACCCCGCCCAAAAAATAAAACGTCGACCTTGGCAAAATATCTACTTTGTTATTCGAACCCCTTTATGCACTGTGTTGATTTTTGCAGCTTTTTGGGAAGAGGCGGTGGAGGTTCAGTTATGGATAGTGGAGTGGATGTGGTGATTTCAGTCAAGAGTCGGAATGGATAGATAATGGGGATGAGGTAGTGTTGAGATCAGGATGGGAAAGGGGAGAAAGATAGAAAGTAGAAGGGGATATGTTAAGAGGGTAAAAGGTAGATAGGTAGGTAGGTCTAATGAGATCGAATTTGATGATACCTCCATGTGACATGCAACATGTGAAACGATACATCGCACGGTACCATTTACTTCCTGGCAGATTTATAAATCATTATTCGAGCGGAAGGAATACTTATGATCGAGAAACGTTTATAGAGACAGGGCATTATGTGAATTGAAAGAAGGAAATTTCATGAGGCGTAATGCAAGTTTAAAGGGCCATTAATTATTCTTTTTGTTTGCATTCGTGAAGGAATAACTAATATATTGCGTGGAGACATTATTTATTCGTACATCATATGAGTATTCATCAAGTGAGCTAGATACGATTTTTGATATTTTTTCTTTCTTTTGCTGCTGATTTACTCTATAGGTATCAACACGTCCACGTGGTTTCCTTCTCAGATGTTTTGGCTTTTATTTTGTAGTCCCGCCATCCAAATGCATTTATAAACCATCACCTACCCCTCTCCCCCCGCCCAGTATGTAACTGCATAGTAATATACAATAGATCATGTCATTGATCATGTTCCCTCATTTACATCAATATGAAGACGAGAAATGTAAGAATGTCCTCTCTGCTTTCTTTCCGTTCCATGCATGTGCTCATTTCCTCGACACACGTTGTATTCACATCCACATCATACAATTGAAGCTCTTAGGCAATAATCTCTCCGATATCCACATGTACTGGTTCCCAACTCTTCGCTCCCTCTTTCCCTCCACTCGGAATTTCCGTTTCACTTGGCAACGACCTACGTCCTGGGCTATAAAGGTACCAAGACTTTAATCCCGCAACACTAGCTCTAATTCTCGCCTCATTCAAACTTGCACCTGGTGCCTCACCCAGCTTTTCTCTTCCGCTATAAATTCCCACTACGAAGACTGGACTTCGAGAGTGTCGACCTGTTTCACTCAGAATTCTAGCAACTGGTGCTTCGAAATCTTCGCGTGCGCATAGACGGGCGAGATCGCGGACTGGCTGGGAAAATTGGAATAACTTGTCGAGGTCCAGGTGACGGGATAAGATATGTTGTTCGATGAACGTTTTTGCTGCTGCGCGACCTGCATGGAGATAGACTGCACCAATGAGTGCTTTAACGAAAGAGGCGTAAGCACTGTTCATTGGTTGAGGATTGGTAACTTGATTCGATTTCCTGACTGTGTCTCCAAATTCATCATCGTAGACAACTCTGGAAGCCATTCCTCTTCTAAAATAAGGCGCCTCTTTTCTGGTAGTTTTTCCTGTAGAACTGGTCTCTCCATTTGGCGACAAATGTTTGTATTGCAATAATCCAACATCGACTTCTTGCCCAGGAGCAAAAGCAGGCTGAACACCCCAATCTCTTCCAACCAGATGTAAAGTATCAGGACCACTATATGCCAGAACACTTGCGTAGAAAACGGCTAATGGTAAACGTGGATATGTACAAATAAGATATTCGGAGACGTGGTAATTTAGGAGGTCGCCTCCAATACGAGAGAGTCCTGCATTATTGAAGGCTGGGTTGTTGTTTGCGGAGGGGGTAATGAGGGTTCGAGCGAGTGTTTGGAGGGGTAATTTGGAGGGGAGAGAAAGACGGGCGTGGAGAGCTGCTACTTTCGCGGAGGGTTTTTTGGGGGTGGGTTGCTGAATTGGTGGTTCGAGGGATTGTTCGCCATCTTCAAAAACTATCTCTTCTGATTTGGGAGCAAGTGTAGATGTTGAGTTCATGCGGACATATGCAGGTATCGATGTCGTCTTTGGGAGAAGATTTTGTGCTAGAGCATGCCGCCTCGGACAAGTAGAAACGGATCTTGTATTTTGAGAAAGCAATTGGTTGCTCCATCTTTCTAAATGTAACCTCTTCATCATTTCTCCTATATTCCCCTTTCCAACACTTCCAATTCGAGTGTAGGAATTATGATCGAGTAATTGTGGCGGATAGAAATTGGACCGGCGATTTCGATAACAAATTCCAAAATTTCTCGCCCAAGCTCGTGTGTGATGCTATAATTATTGCACTAGTACCTTTGCGGTTAGTGGGGACTGGATGTCTGAGGAACGAGGAACGACATCGTCAAAATTGACCAAAATCATATACCTTAAAAAATCCCTCGCACATTTCGCAATTGATTAAAAATGGTGTGTTCCTTCCTCTCCTCTGCACGCAAGCATGTCTGCCAGGAAATACTAACAAAAAACCCAGGGCGGCGGCGGCAAAATTCCGTAAGTTCTTCAGTTCCACCAAACTTCGACCGACCTTGAAATAAGCAAGTCCGCCCAAGCACATTATCTAACAACATGATGTTAGATATCCCAAACACGTCTGGTCTCCAGCCGGAGGATGGTACTCGCAACCTGGCAACTGGAAAGCGAATACCGCGATCATGGCGACTGTTATTGTCGGGATTACTGCTGGAATGTGGAAATTGAGTGCGGAGAGAGAGTATAGGACGAAGTTCCCGGAGGAGGGAAGGTTCTTCCCAAGTCGATAGTGAGTTTGGTTTATACAATTTTTACAAATGGGAGTCTAGAGAATACTGGGGGACGCCGGAGGAATCAAGGACGGAGCTCAGGGTTGCAAGATAATGGAAGCCGGGCAGTGACTGACAAAATTATAGCTGGAGTAAACAAATCAAGGAGCACGAGGCACAGAAGAACAAGAGCATTACCGATCGTGTAGTAGAGAAGGTCACTGGAAACTAAATTCGAAAATGAGGAAAGAATTGTACATATTTAGGTCGTCATACAATGAATAAACAACTTCGAGAACAATGATTGCACTCCTCATCATAATGGAGTTTGATGTTTTCTGCGACATGAAATTCCGGGCAGATCGGGAAAGGAAAGAAAAAAGGCTACGTTGTCGGATCGAACGGCAACTGGTCTGTGTTGTTGCTTTGATATTGTCTATGATTGTACGAATGCTTCTATGTTGAAGTATGGTTACTGCGGTTAGTACTCGAGGTAGGAAATATTTGAGGATACCTCTTTTCGCACCGAAATGCCCTCTACAGTCGTGCAGCACAGCTTATTCATAGAATAGTTCAATTAGTTCACGCTGCTATTTTACAATTTACACCATGGTTTACTCCTCATTTTAAATGCGTGTTCATTCTTTTTCCACTTCCTGGGTCGAGATTATCCAATAGTTTTTAATTCGCCGATTTTCCACTTTAAGCTTCACTTCTATGGAAGTGCATGGTGATCAGTCTAGTCATATCCCAGGCTATTATCTGGAAGTGAGTTGTACAACGAGAGTTCATTGTGTCAACAAAATTCATCCAATAGGATCTCAATGTTTGAAAATAGATTACACATGAAGAGTTACAATCAAATTGTCTGTATACCATTCAGTTCAATGTGTGTGTTAAAGTGTTCTCCGGTGATGTTTACTGTCCTAGTTCCTAGCTTGAGGCAATCATCACTAAGCCGGGGAATCTCCTAAGTTATTGAATTGTTGGATTTGTGATGCAGAGGATTAAGGTTAAATTGTGATGGTTGGTCAATGAAGATGCTCTACTCGTGAATTCCCGTCTAAACAGACTGGAGCCGAGTGCTTCTACTCTATACCTCGCTTCTTCGAGACCTCATGGATTGAACATCAATTCCGGTGTTATCATCTGGTATTGATTCTGCTCAAGTAATGGTGCTGAACAACGGTGATAGTCATATGGTCTCAACCAAATTTGCAACACATACATTGCGGTCTGGTAATCCTTGAAGGGGCACTTCCTGCCATGCATTTCTTTGTACAATTGTAAAGACTTGCGATAAACGATCAGGTTTGGTTTCCCTACAGATCAAGTAATTCAAGCTTCATTTTCAATAACCCTAGGAAGTGTGCTTCTTGGTGAAGCTTAGTTGGTTGTGTTGTTTTAAAAATAAACTGTCCAAGTGGGTGGCATGCAAAATTTCTGTGGTGGATGTGAATCATCAATTCACTTCTCCTGGTACTTTTGCTGCATTGGAAGAACAACTTGTTCTTCTTTGGAGAATAAATATATTGGCAAAGTCGATGCATAAAATCAACGAACCTGCTTGATTGATCCGGAAGCTCGCTATCCAGCTGATATTGGCTATATAGTGGATGCTGGCAGCTTCCCATCGAGGGGAGGCACTCTCATGTTGCGTCTCATGATAGGAAGATGATTTGGTCTAATTTGCTTGTAGGATGGAATGCTCATCATTTTACCCTGGGTTCTAAGGGTATCCAATATCAGCGTAGTAAATCCATCACTTCCGAAATGTTACAACCTGAAACAACTCGATGTATATGGTGAGACCATACATGAGTTCCTCATAATCCAAGCAGTTCTGCCTCGTAGGCTCTCCTGTTTTACATGTATGAGCGTCGTTTGCAGATCTGAGCTAATTTCGCTAAACTTCGACAGCACGCATTCTCAATATTGGCATGAAATAAGTCTCATTGTCGATTTCCTCTATCATGTTCTAGCTATTCACGTGTAAAACCTTCGCAGGGTTTTCTCATTCTTTAACAGTTTGCAACCTATTTCGGGAGCATGTCTATTCCATTCATAGATTGTTCATACACCTCAATTTTTGCTCTATGCTACTAGAATCCAAGTTCAAAAATCTGTTTTATAGACTGCGGAAGAATTAATTGACTTTTAGGATTTCCTGGCTGTGTAGTCTGAAGATCACCAATTGCACGAGTGGCTAATGGTAAACTGAATCCACATTCATTGTTCCTTGCCCCTTAGCATTAGTGTGAATCGAATTTACTTCCACTTTCATTGGTATATATAGTTCTCATGGTCACACATTATGAACTGTAAAGACGAGCTCTCGAAAGCGGCTTATCGCCGAGGACTACGGGACTGCTAATCCAAAGCGCGAAGCGGCAGAAAAACATCTTCATCTCTCACAGATAGCTCTTCGATATCAAAATGCGTGTAGGTATCAAGCTTCAGATGAATTACAAATTCAGTGACAGTAACCCGGTGAATTTCTGTCACGACTCACACTACGAAATAGTGAATTCAATTTTTGTTGTCACCCATCAACAGGATGTCTTCGATTCTCCAAAGTGTTCTATAAAGTAAATTTCTTCCCTTTGATTATGACGGGCAACCAAAAGGCAACTGGCAACGTTTCCCCCAATACGCAGCACCCTTTGAGGCATACTGGAACGTTCTTCTGCTTATTGTTTGGTGTGTTCATGAAAAGCTAGAACTTTATACTAGATTCATCTTATAAAGGCATTAATTTCCCATTGCAGCTCTACAGAAGTTTTACCCTGTGAGAAGTGAATAATCCATCCTGACTATACCTCTCAGACTGCGGAAAATTCTTGAGGCTGAAGATACATAAAAGGCCTTGAGTTCTCATCATCAGATTGTAAATATTGATAAAAAACTGACCAAGAAACCGAACCTGTGCCTTCATATCTGCCATCTTCGATTCCCCAACTATATAAAACATGGCCGTAGTAGAAGGGTAGGAGTGAGATATTTCTCAATGGTGCCCTTCGACTGCCCATTGTCAATGGACATAATTGCTCGAGCGTTTTTATTGTCATTTCCGCCTTCCATCGTAAATGATGTCGCATAACAACGAAAGTTTTTTTCATCCCACAGTATTATAAAACGATGGACATCTCAATTATTGACCACTAGTTGGAGCCAAGCTTCTCAACATGTCGTTTCCTCATTGGCTATTAACCACCAATTAACATTATCGATGCGTTCTTCCCTAGTAGATTGAACCTTCGTAGAAAACAGTACATTGTGCTCTCATACCCTATCGGATGAAAATCTCATTCCTGACATTTGGGTGTGGTCAAGATTTATTCGCCAACCTACAAAAGTGCTAATGAGCACATAAACTACTTTGAATGGACCGAATCTCGCGTGTGATGATTCTATATCGTTGTCTTAAAGCACGAGCCAGTCATCCTTTGTGACTAACGCCAACATCTCCATATCTACCACTCACTCATATCCTTTTAAACAGTCATCAACACTACACTACTGGCACTCGCAGATACAACAGTCACACGCTCTGAAACATAAAAACCAGCAATCTACAATCAAATAAAACACAGTTTATTTCCACTTATCAGCTGATAAAAGCGTATCTACCGTAGTTTCAAAATCACGCTTCCTCCACTTCCCCCCTTCCCCTTCCCTTGCATTCCAACCCCCATTAATCTCAATAACCCCAAGAAAAGTTCTTCAAAATCCAACAACTCATACCAGCATACCACCAACTCACTAAATCACCAAAACATCTCAAACCCCATCATCCTCGCTAATCCAAAAATTGCCGAAGATGATACTTTTCCACAGCAGCATCAGCCCCACACGGATCAGTAAGTTTATGCAAACGCAGCATATTCTTCACAGGCATACGTCTCCGTTTCTGAAGACGCTCATCGTCTTCTTTGAACCACTCTGCAGTGAGGGTTGTCTCTAAATTTTCATAAATGTCGAGAAGTGGTGGGGCCTTGAAGATTTCAAGATTTTTAAATATTAGAGTTATAGGAAAGGTGGATGGAAGAGTATGTATATAGAAATCAGGAGAGAAGTAATAGTCGGCTCTTGTAAGCAGCATCCTAGTTCCTAGTTAGGGAAATCGATTGTTCCTAGAAAGTAGTTATCTCTGTTCAAAAAATGATCTGCTATTTGAAACCCAATTATATTTCTGAATTCAATGAAATTATAATATTTCAATCTTATTAAACTCATAATTTTGCTTTGAAAAATGAATAAATTATTGTACAAGAATAGAAGGTGGTAGGGTCGTAGAATAGTTCTTCGCATATACTATAGGAGAGTTACTGTAAACGTAGCGTTTTCAGTAGAGAAGAGAAAAGGGAGACTTTAGATAGCGTTTCATAGTATGTAAAGGAAATTGAATTTTCGGAAAATGTTTTGGACATATACTCCATAAGGAAAAGCTTAGAATGAAATGCTTGGGATATGGAATGATTAGAGCATCATACCTAAGGCACTCATGATGAACGCTTAACTATATCGAATGCCATGGTTACGGTCGCGCAACCGACTTCTTGAATCAATTATTACATACTGATTTTTGCATCAAAACATTAAAATATGACAACATCTCTTTGCTTATAAACTATATAATAATTCAATAATTAATTTGCTCTTGAATTTCAAACATTCTGTATGTCGTTCCGCAAAGTGATAGGGCTATAAGCAGACGATTTAAAAGCTCACAATTTAATACGAAAACCAAATTCAGAAAATAGTCATTCCATGCTCATTCTTATCTACCACAACTCTAGTCTTAGTATAGTACCATGTTTCCAACCCAACTCTCTTGCGGTCAAACCAGTCGAACGTAAGTTGTCTTCCCGATCGTCTGAGTAAACAGCGGACACATGGCTAGCCTGTATCAACCCCAGCACATGCTGCACCGTATATGTCATTGGAATGAATACGGTATGGTTTGTTTCGCGGATATCCTTTCTCTTGTTTGACACCCTGTACTTTGTTTGGCAGCGAAGGATCACCAACACGCGGTCATGGTGTTGAAGCAGAAATGCATTCTGTTCTGGGAACTTGACCGATAGCACTTTCTCGCTCCACGTCCAGGATTCGTCGTTTGTTGTTGGGCTACTGTCAATGATTGCGAAAGATATCTGCGCGTTTGATGATGCGATTATTATGGCTGTATCTGGTTCTATACTGCCAGGCTCCCAGGCATTTAGGTCTAACTCTGCATCGTTTTTAATAAGCTTCCACGCACCTGGCTGTGGTGAGATAATCGTAGGGTATTGGTGGATCAATTCCTTGAGAAGGCCATCGATGAAATTGCAGAGTTGCTGAAAATCTTAGTGTCATCACAAAAGGATTGATTCGTGGTAACGAACTTGCCTACTCATAATATCTCCTAAGATCGGTGTATATAAAATTTCATGTGGAGGGACATGAAATACAACACGAAGCTGTTGCAGTTTCTGTCGTTGCCCAAATGTCATAGGTGGGTCTGTGGAAGCAACATTTGTGGCCATCGTAGCTCAATTATACGATTCAGAGATGGTAACAGAACACTGTAATAGTCAAGGATATTCAGGGATAGCAGCAATAAATTATGAGAATAAAAACGATATAAAAGTGCTAACAAAGCATTGTGGGAACGAGAGAAGATTTAGAGGTGCTAGCGAAACACTGTGACATCGAAGACAATTTAGAGGTGCCAGCGAAACACTGTGACATCGAAGACAATTTAGAGGTGCCAGCGAAACACTGTTAGAACGAAGATGATTTAGAGGTGCCAGCGAAACACTGTGAGAACGAAAACGATTTAGAGATGCCAGCGAAACACTGTGAGAACGAAGATGATTTAGAGGTGCCAGCGAAACACTGTAAGAATGAAGAAGAGGTATTTGATATCACTGCTCGATTATGTCATAGAATGCCTCACCCACTATCTGATAGATAATTACTTATTCTCACTCTCACCTGCACTAAATTAAGATCATAGATTTATTTATCACTAGTAAATTGGGACTGAATTGATCTGATATTTTCATTCTGACTTTCTACTCGTTATCGCAATCATGTTGGCAGAAGATGCTACTAGACTTCAAAAAATCGATGAGTTGTATGCGTTGCGGCTTGACCAATATTTATCGCTTCCCCAGGTGAGTTCCATGCTCTATACCTAGTTGCGCTCTGCTGATTCTTACCGTATAGCTTGTTGTTGTTGGTGATCAGTCAAGTGGTAAGAGCTCTGTTCTCGAGGGTTTGACGTGCCTTCCATTTCCACGAGACTCTGGCCTATGTACTCGATTCCCAACACAGATTGTTTTCAAGCGTTCAAAGATAGAGCGAAGGGAAGTTAGTATCTTGGCTGCCCATGGCCAAGAGCAATCTAAGACAGACGCTATCGCGAACTTTGGCAAGATTCAGTTAACAAGCTTTGATGAACACTCCTTCTCGGATTTGTTAGCCAAGGTACGACTGTCATCATTTTATCGCCAACAAACTTGTTAAACGTCGCGCTGCAGGCATCTGAATGTATGGGACTTCCCTACCCTGGAAAGCAACGGGATAATAACATGGACTCTTTCTCTCATAATATCCTCAAGATCGAGCTCTCGGGTCCAGAGTATGAAAACTTTAGTGTTGTTGACCTTCCAGGTCTTTTTAGAAGTAAGACCAATACCTCTCACTAAATCATAGCTAATATGAGATCATAGAACCAACTCCAGGTCAGACAAGCAAAGAGGATATGGCCCTTGTTCGAGAAATAGTCGCGAGATATATGAAGAATCCTCGGAGCATTATCTTGTAATTACAGTATACAATTCTATATTTGACAATGGCTCACGTGTTTCAAAGAGCAGTTGTTCCCGCAAATATAGATATCGCAACGCAGGAGATAATTCAGATGGCTGAAGATGCTGATCCTGAGGGTCGAAGGACTCTAGGAGTCTTCACAAAGCCAGATCTAGTAGATCGAGGCGCAGAGGAGAAGGTTCGCACAACATTGTTACCAAGAACTAAATAATTTATTGATTATCTTAGGTCGTAGAGCTTGTGATTAATCAATCTAGTAGCGCACGTTTTGAACTTGGCTACACCATCGTGTGTAATCGAAGCCAGAGCGATCTTGGTATAACCAATGATGAGCGTAACGCTCGTGAAGCCATGTTCTTCAAGCGTGAGCCCTGGGACGTGATTCCAGAAGAGCGAGCAGGTGTGAAATCTTTAAAAAATCGGCTAAACAATCTCTTGGTCGACGTCACGAGACACAACTTCCAAGCCGTGGCTGAAGACGTAAGGATTAAGATTCGTGAATTGGGAGAAAAACTGGATGCCATGGGCCCGCGTCGCGATACACCCAATGATCAACGTAACCATCTGATTAGGATTACCACTGACGTCCGGGAAATAACATCCAAGGCTATTGACGCTCACTATGGTCGCGATCGATGTTTTGATGATGATACTTTTCGGTTGGCCACAAATGTGATGACAATGAACAAAGCTTTCTCCGATTTGATTTGGCTGAGGGGTTGTACAAGGAAGCTTAATTCCGCATCCAGCGAAACTGAGATAAGTGTTACCGCTAGAGAAGATAGCGAACTTGAGCCTCAGACAGAGAATCCTCTAGACAATCTTGATGCACCGACAGCTAGCAACAACCGCTGCACAAACATCGAATTTCTTCAAACTTATCCTGAGCTAAAGGTTTTTATAAGCCCATTCATCTCAATACCTTCTACGCCCAAACAAGGTATTATGGAATGGATAACGGAAAAATACGAAAAGTCTAGGGGCTTCGAAATAGGAACTTTGAATCCCTCCTTACTTCCATCCCTGTTTTTGGAGCAATCTCAGAACTGGGAATATTTTGCCCATGAGCATTTAAAGAATGTGATCCGAACAATTCATCGTTTTAACCACGAAGCACTTCGATATTGTTGCAAAGATGATACATTAAGCAAGAAATTATGGGCTATGTTATCTCAACTGTTGCTTCCACGATATAAGAGGGCACTAGATCATGTCAAGTTTCTGATTGAGGTTGAGCAACAGGGAAATCTGCTCACGATGAATCATTATTTCGCGGATAACTTGCGTAAGGCTCGTGAAGACCGGATCAAGAAACAGTTGGTTAATCTACAGTCCTGGACAACAAACGACTCACAAAAACAGCCTTTACTTCGTCTTGAAGATACTATTTCGACATTTATGAGTAATGAGGGTCAGACGACACAGGACTTGCACGATATACTGGAGGCATACTACAAAGTGTCTCGAAAACGATTTGTGGACGCAATTTGCCTTCAAGCTGTGGATCACTTCCTCATTAGTAGTAAACAGGGGCCTCTTTGGTTATTTTCACCGCAACTGATAGGCAACATGACAGACTCTGAACTCAGAAAGATTGCGGGTGAAAGTGATCAAACTATTGTACGCAGAGCACGACTTACCGAGGAAATTGCGAACTTAAATGCCGGTCAAAAAATTCTTGAATAGGTAGAATCTTTCGAATACATTAGATTTTCTCTTCTGAACTTCTTTGGCAAGCTGCAAGCGTGTTGTAGAATGATACCAGTTTTGATCTTCGATGCCCAATTTTTGTATTGAAAAACTTCATATACATTTGTTGAGGTCAAAGCTTACAGGTATAAATGAGATAGAACAAATAATGTTGAGCCTGCTTTTGATTGATATACTGTGACGATTCGGTCCCCTTCCGGTTCCTTAGTTATTTAGCTTCAAGGACCTCGGCCTAGCACGTGATTCTCTTGTTATATATAACCTAGAGCTCTTATATAGTTCCCTTTCTTTCCTTTTCTTCCTTAGTTTTAGATCCTAAGATAGAATTGAATTCTTTTTATGACAGTCGTAAAACCTTATAATATATAAACTTTAAGTTACTATTCATTTTCTTATATAGTAGGAATAAGCTAAACGTATTATCGAAAGTTTTCGTTCTATTAATATTATAGTGTTTATGTCACAGGATTACTTCTAGGAGCATTCAGCCTTCGGAGCTTAGGATTTAAGGGGCTCCAGGAAGAATAAAATCAAGAGTTCTATAGAATTTAAAGATTTATATAAGGAAATGAGTTTTATTATAATATAAAGCTTTATATTTAAGAATAATTATTAATTTTATTATTATAATTATGAGAATTACAATCAATCACAACCTTATTAAATTCCTATTTGAAATTTAGTCTAAATTATTTCGAAAAATCTTTCAACACTTTTATATAACCCTAGAGTATTACGAAAGCTGCCTCTAGGGTCATGTAGAAGTATCTAGAGATTTCTTGAAATAATTTAAACTAAACTTCAAGTAGGAATTCAATATGATTATAGTTGATTACAATTCTCATAATTATAATATAAAACTAATAATTGTTTTAAATACAAAATTCTATATTATAATAAAGTCTATTCCTGTCGGAACGTACGATCACGTGCTTAAGCGAATCACATGATTATTCCCACTATATATATATAATGGAAAGAATGATATCTTATTCTAGATCATCTCAATTCATATTATTCATTTTATATAGGCTTATCAATAGTGCTTTATACGGTGATTCGAGTCGACCTCACCCCAAGTGACATCTCAACAATTCTCTTATATAGACCTTTATTCTTTTCTAAATAATTAGAAAAACTAATCTTTTTTAAAACATTATTGTTTTAGATCTATTTATTATTTAACACTAATCATATAATTTCCAATAATACTATTATTGTCTAATTAATACTTTTTAACTATTTTATATTTACTTTATAATTTATACTTACTATTTAATATAACGTGGTTTATTAGCATATAGGTCATATCAGCATATGAGTCACTTTTATCTCAATTTACACTTTTCTTTTTCAATATACATTTTATCAATAATTTATAAAGAATTTAAATAATCAAAAAGCTTATATAGTCTTTATTATTAAAATTATTCAGAAAAAAAAATTAAGTATTCAAAAAATCGTTAAAATATATAACATCCTGTATATAAAAATTATAGTATAGAATTAATGATTTTACTTTTTATACAAAATATTAATATAAAGCTTATAATCTTTTAGAATTAGAAGAGAATATTATTATCAAATATATACTCGATATAGATTTGAGAAATTTTTTATTTAAACTTAAAAATATAGAAAATATAATAAATTATATTTTCAATTCGAGAGATACAAAGAATATTAAAAAGCTTTAGATGTATCGATTTGTAAAATGTTAAATCGAATTAAAGATGGATTTTAATTATATTTATAACTTTTAAAAAGTTTTTTACAAAAATCCTAAGTTTATTAAAAAATAATTTCGATTAGTTGCGAATATACAAGCGAAATATAGTATTTTAAATAAAAAAATTTATAATTTTGATAAAACGAGCTTTATAATAGGGATTATATATATAGTAATAATTATTATTAGTATTAAAAAATTCAATAGAAATAAATCAGTATAGTTAGATAATTAAGAATAAGCTATAGCAATAATATACGGAAATAGAAAGAATAAAAATATTTCCTTATTTCTAATAATTCAAGAATAAGTTTATTTTTTTAATTAATATATTAATGTTAGAGTAGATACTAGCAATGAATCAACTAGGTGAAATGTAGCACAAAGACTTTTCATTAATTCTTCTAAACTTATAAAAACTATATAATTTATATATATATATAAACTCTTTTCAATATATAATAAATCTGAGGGCTTATTATTATATACTTAATAAAACCCTTTAATTTATAATTATAACAAAACTCCTTTTTTTTAATTTTATATTCTAAGAAATATTTTATTTTTTTAATTAGATTATCTTAATAATATATAATTATATTACATTATATTTATATTATATTACATTTTCAAAAGAAAATTTCTATATTTTTATATACTACAAATAATAAAAAATATAAATAAAACAATCTTTATATATTTTATTATTTTATTAGTAGATTATTACATTTTTTATAAAAGAATATTTTTTTTTATATTAAAATAGAATTATTTTTGAATAATATAATCTCTTTTTTTTATTAAACCTTTTTCTATTTCTTTTATAATAATTATCTTTCAATTTGGTGGTATTATTTCTATTACCTTGTATTCTACCACCAGTTTAGCTAAATTAATTATTCTTATTTATCTTTAATACTCCAAATATATTATTAGTATTAATTCTAATAATTTTTATGAATTTGATTATAATTCATATACTTTTTATAATTATTATTATTATTAAAAGAAAATCTATATTCTAATACCTTTTTAATATATTCTTAATATTGATTTTATATATCAAATATATATTTATTATAATATAATTCTATATTATAATACTAAAAAGGCTATGGATAATATAGTTATAATTTGATAAGAGGAATGTTATATACAGAATATAGAAATCTTTTTATAAAAAAAGGTTAAGTATAGGGGTATTTATAAATCTTAGTTATTAAAAAAGTTAGATTTTTTAATTATAAATTAATTAGATTATATTAATAATTTAATAGAATATTTTATAAATTTCTATTAATCTATAATTAATTTATTATATATATAAAATACTCTATCTCCATTATATACTATTATATTAGATTTTATTACAAAGTTTATTTCTATTATTAATTTTAATCATAAAGGGGAATTTGTGGTTTTTATTATTTATAATTATATGATCCTTATAAATATACTATTGTTATCAAATTTAGTTTTTGAACTAATATTTTTTGTAATATTTATATAATTAGTTGTTTTATTTATAATTTTTTAACCTAATATATTATATATAATAGCTAGCTTTAAGAATTAATTTCACCACCAATCCACTATCAAAATACTAGATGTATTTATTTGTAAGAATTACATTAAGTCTAAATATCCTAGAATTCCGTTTTTTAAAGAATCTCTTTCTTTTTTCATATTTAATGATAATAAATTTGGTAAGAATAATAATAATAAAAATATATAAATCTTTTATAAAATCTCTAATATTTTACTATATATTACTATATATTACTATTTTTAAGGTTTTGGTTAATATATATGATATATTATATTTGATATATTATAATACTACCATTAATTTGCCATTTACCTCTTTTTGCTTTTTTTTCTATATTTCTTTTTCTTTTATTTATAAAATATCTTAAAAGTTTATAGGAAAAAAGGTTTCTTTATTTATTTATAAGAGTTCCTTTATAATAAGTTATTAAACTATTAAGCTAAAAAAAGATTTTGTATTTATTTTGAAAATATTAGAATTAAACCGAAAAATTTATATAAAAAAATCTGATAATTAAATAGATTTCTTAGAAAAATCTTAATAATAAAATAAAATAAGCATTAATTAACCTCCTAAATAATAATAAAATACTATAAATAAATTATTAAAGAATTAATTATCCAATAATATTTTCAAAAAAAAAAAAATTAATAAAAATAAGATTAATATATTAATAAATATAAAAAAATATAAAAATAATAATATAAATAATATTTACTTTAGAAATCTTTTTTTTTAAAAAAATATTTTAAGGATATAATATCAGAAATCTAACTTTACTATAGAATCCTATTACTAAGCTATTATAATCAATATTATATACTATTATAATCATATTAATTATAAACAAATTCTTATATAAAATAAAATCTTATAAAAAATTTGATATCAATCCCGCTAATTTAGTTTTAATAAAAATTCAATTAATATCAATTCTGAGATTTATAAATTGAAATCAAAAATTATTGAAAGATATTGAAAAAAAATGATTTATTTGATAATTATATATAATATATTAATAGAAAAGGGTTTATAATCTTATTTTTATTAAAATAGAAAAAAAAAAGGAAATATTTGAATAACTATATAATAATAATGAATCCCAGGTAGATATATAGTATAATCCTATTATTTTATAGCTTTTTCTTTTTTTTTTTAATTTCTATATTAATAATTCTTTTTTATTATTATATTCTTTTAATATTCACTTTACATTTTTGAGATTACAATAAATCTTCTATATATCTTTTATTAAATCAAATATTGAATACCCTTTCCTTTTTTTCTATATATTATAATTTTCTTTATCTTATATTCTAGATATTTTTTTTTTAATAATAGTGGATCTATAATATCCAATTATTTATATTATAATTCTGATAAAGAAATGTGAAAAATATTATAAATTTTTTAAATAAATAGTAATTTAAGTTTATATATTTAATTATTATTTTTTATATCTATTATTATAAAAAAACCTATAAATTAATTTGAAAATTTCTTCTTTAATTAAAGCTATTTAATATTTCGTATATTTAATATTATTTTATTTCTAATATTATATTATTGTAGAATTATATTTTTTGTTTTTAATACTTTTTATTTAATAATGAATTATCAAAGTTTTTTCAGCTTTTTCTATTTTTTATTAAAAATAGTAATTTGTTTATATATTGCTAGTGCTCTTCTTATAATATC